GATCCAGAAACTGGAAGAGGAGCGCGAACGACAGGCACGGGAGGAGGTAAGGACAAACCATGGTGCCCAAATGGCTTCACACCGATTCATTCCCATCATGCCTTCACTCTTCTTTTTTCTCCTCAACCTGCAGCAGCGACGTCAGCAACAGGAGCTCCTGAAGCTACAGCAGCAACAAGTCCTGCAACAGGCTCAGCAGCCTCAGGCCAAGCTGTCCGGTTGGGGTACTGTGGCCAAACAGCCAGTTGCTACCAAGTCCTTGCTGGAGATTCAGAGGGAGGAAGCCCAGCAGATGAGACAGCGAAAGGATCAGCAGCAGCAGCAGCAGCAGCAGCAGCAGCAGCAGCAGCCGCCGCCGCCACAACAACCACAACCACACCCTGTTGTCACCCAGCAGAGTCGCACGCAAAACAGAACCGTAAGTGACGATGCAAAGTTTTTTACTGGCTGAAAGCTGCGAGGTGCTGCACAGTCGGACATGGATTAAAGCGTTCCAAAGGTTTTGTCATGGAAATAATCCATGTCAATATTATGAAAACATTGTTTCATTGAGATTTCATTTGTGTGAAATATTGTTTTTCATGTTACCTTGTTTTTATCACATTTATCACAAAGATGAACTGAAACAATAAATACATAGTAGAAGTAGTCATTCAAAAGAAAATTAATCAGGAACTGTTCAGACAATCAATTTTAAGTGCAAAAGAGAAAAAGGATTTTCTCTGTATGAAGTGATAATTAACTGATCATCTTCAGGTTTAGAATCGTTCCCTTGGGTTAGTTAGTTTAGGAAATGGTGTTAAGCATTTGTCTCTATTTTCTGACGCTTAATCAACCAAACATCTTCCGAAGTCAACAAAATTAAAGGTAAGTTAATAAATCCTGATGAATTCCATGTCGCTCTCTTCACAGACATCTCTGAGTAACTCAGTGTGGGGGTCTGTCAACACTAGCACCTGCACTAACTGGGGCTCGGACTCCAGCAGCATCTGGGGAGACACCCACAACTCTAACATGGGCTTCTGGGACGAGGCCGTGAAGGAGGCTGTTCAGCAACCTCCTCCAACCAAGAAAGGAAGCACGCAGAAGAATAATAAAGGCAACGCCAACCTCAGGTATTTATTAAATACATCTTTGTCCTCTTATGACGGATGTGATTAATTCACAGCTTTTAATGACTTTTGTCTTCCTCCTGCGTTTGTTTGTGCACATACAGTAACTCTTTGAGTGGGCGAGTCAACAAGAAGGTAGAAGAGGAGGAGAAGCTGCTTAAGTTGTTCCAAGGGGTCAACAAGAGCCAGCAGGACACCTTCATGCAATGGTGTGAGCAAACCCTGCACACCCTCAACACAGCCAACAATCTGGATGGTAGGTCTTTTAAAAATAATGTTCATGTGCAGTGCACCCACAACTATTGATGGAACATTTCCGGAAGCCGAAACTGAGAAATATTCTCCATCTGTTTCCCTGCCAGTTCCTACGTTTGCTTCCTTCCTGAAAGAAGTGGACTCTCCATATGAGGTGCACGACTACGTCAGGGCATATCTGGGGGACACTTCTGAGGCCAAGGACTTTGCCAAGCAGTTCCTGGAACGTCGTGCCAAACAGAACGCGAATCAACAGAAGCAGGCGCCGCAAAACCAACAGCAGGCCCACAAACAGCAGCAGGTGAGTGAGACTGAAGTGGTGCTAGTTATTTAAAGGATCAACATATGGGCACTAAATGCTCTGCTCCTACGTTGCCTTGTGATACATTCAAGAAGAGAGACAGCTGTCCTTTTTTGTTCCACAGGAATAGTTTTCATTGAGGTATTTCTGTCTGGCATGAGTGAACATGGCCGTTAAACTTATTCCACCTTCAGTTGGGAATCTAGCCTGCGTCAGCCTGTATATCACATGACTATTAACTTTATATGGTCATGTGTGTGCTGGTGTAAACAGGAAGCAGATCATCTCCTTTGCAGTTGGTTGGTTGCTTAGTTACAGAAAATACTACGAACAAAAATCAGTGATGGTGAAAAGTAAGAGCGGGGATGAGCAACTGTTACTGACAGCAAGTGTTAGGAACACTTTGCATTGAACACTGGAAGTTGAGTCGTGACAAATAGAAACCAATACTGGACAAATGAGAGCGACTCCCCCAGAGTTTTTTTGATCTATAACGATGTAACCATAGCAACGGTGCCAAAACCCTGACCTGTGGATCTAGTCGCTATCTTCAGCAGTGACCCCGAGCTGCTACTTTTCTTCTCTTCAACCATCAACACTTTCCTTTAGTTTGACACAAAAGAGAAAGAATAGAAATTCTTCCAAGCGTCATTTTATTGGCAAAATAGCTGAACAGTGATGTATTCTTGAAATTTTGCACAAAGACACAGTACAAAGTACTTAAAACTCATAAAAATACAGGTTTTGAGAAATGGATTGTAAGAGCTTCATTTTTAAGACAGTCAAAAAATACTTTGAATCTGATTTGATAATCAATTCATCTTAAAGTTATTTCTTTCCACACATTCTCTGTTTTGATCTACTCGGCTTTAATGAAATTGAAATATTAGGTTTTGGATTTTCATTTGAACAAACTTATGTGAAGGCATCTTCTCCGTCTCTGGGAACTTGTTATGTTTCACTGTTGACCTGCTCTGTTGTAAAAGACATTCAGTGAAGAAATCATCACAAGAGTAATCGATCATGATTTTCACCCCTATTTTGTAAATATGAGCTAACACGTTGTTACATTATCACTGCTTATAATTGTGAACTAAGCTGCAGATGTGTGTTTGGAAAATAAACCACAACTTCAAATCCACATTTCTCTCTCGCCAAGGATTCTGTATGGGGTGGAACAGGATCGTCGTCGCTCTACCAGTCGTCCAATCATACGAGTGGCCAGCAGCAGCAGCGCTTTGAGACCGTCACCTCAGGGAAGAAGAAAAAGAAGCAGAAGATGGTCCGTGCAGACCCCAGCCTTCTAGGTAAGAGCAAACCCCCTTCAGCCACAACATGTCCCCGCTTCATGAAATCCCATCCACTAATTGTATCTTTGTCCCTCTTTCAATTCTCAGGTTTTTCTGTGAACGCGTCATCTGAGAGATTGAATATGGGAGAGATAGAGACTTTGGAGGAGTTTTAAGGGACTGCAGCCAAGCAAGCGCCACTGACTGTATCCGATTTGAACAGCAGCTGTTTTACCCCAAACTCCTTCCCTGGCCTCCGACTGCTGCCACGAATTTCACCTTTTTATTTACAGTTTCCCATTTATCACACATTCTCTGGTGTTTTCCCCCCATAAATTCTAAATTGTGAACAAACCGGGGATCTCTGAGGCACAGTGTGCGTTTTCCTGTTAGTAACGGACGTGTAATCTGACGAAAAGAGAGAACTGGACTGGAGCAGACTGGCCAGTGGAACATCCCTGTCACCTTGAACTCGTTTGTGGAGAGAATCTGTTTGGCTGCTTCACCTCAAAGCATGTACCTGTTTTAGAAATCCACAGTGATAACATTTCAGATTTGGTCTCAAACAAATGGGATTGTTTCTTTTTAAAGTGGGGAAATATGAACGGGGTTGTGTGGATATTCTGGAAAGGTTAGAGAGATTATATCCATAGTTTTGTTTTATTTATTGAAATTTCCCCCCCTTACAAATTAACCCCCCCCTTCCTCCTTCTCTTTCCCCTCCCCGTTTTCTGCTGGGTGTTCATGGATATAAATGGCAAAGTAGAGCCCAAGGATTCGTACCCACTTATGTCCTGTTTTAAGGGCATGTTCAAAAGTTCCAAGTAGTTATCTATTTCTTGTAAAATACTAGGCTGTTTAAAGAATAAACTTTCAACTCTGCATCTGTATTATAATATATGAAAATGATCTGCTGGACTCATACTTTTTTTATTGCGGTATGGAATAATAAAACAGTCTGATGTGTGGGGCTGTTTACACCCGTGTCTGAACCGACAGTTAATCACATCTGCCAGAGATTCTACGTAGAGTTTTACGATGTATTAATGAAAAAGTATTAAAGGTTCAGTGTGTAAGATTTAGGTGAAAGGGATCTATTGGCAGAAATGAATATAGAATAATCCTGTGAACCCTATATAATAATAATATGAATAATCAACTAGATTCTACACACTGAGCCTTTAAGAGAACATGAGTGAAACCAGAAATCAGGATTGGTAATATAAATAAACTATTTGTTCGTACAGTAAAACATACTTACTTTGGTTCACATGAGCCGGATCATTATCCAGATACACAAGAAGTCACCTCTTCATATATATAAGCACTATACACACTGATTTTATGGTTGAAGCGGCCAATCCTCCTTGGCCCTCTGGTTTGTTTTTGTGAGCAGGATTAAACAAAAACTATTGGGTTGAGCGGATACAGGGATTTTTTTTTTTCAAGATTTTCTGTCATTTAGAGATTCATTCATGGATCTTGATGGACGAAATCAGGCACATTTAGGGGACTGATATTTATGACTGTGTCCAATGCCGAAGGATGATCTGAATCTAGTGAATTTAAATGTGGTTTCATGAGGGGACTGTTGATCCTTGATAGAGATATGTGCTCTACCGAGTCCCACCCTACTTTTCCCTCACTGAAAAATGACAGTACTCCTCCACCAGTGTCATCGTTTCATAGTGAAAATCAATGTTTCTCCAGTTTTTTCTTCCAGGAGTAAAATATCCTGCAGGACCTTTGTGATTCAACCTGGTCAGTGAGGTCAGTGGCTCCTGATTGTTTACACCTCCTCTCCAACTCTGTTGCTGGAGGAATCTGGAGAGGGGTGGTCCCTGTGATGATGTGCTCACAAAGTCCACAGTGTCCAGACCATCCTGTGCACACACCTACAGTCCCACCCCTTCTCTCACCCCTCAGATGCCAACKCCCCCCCCCCCTGCTCTCCCCTGTACTCTTCTCCTGCTCCTCTGCCGGGCGAGTCATTCGTTTGAAGTCACTGCTCAAGGAGTTTTCAGAGACGCTTTTATTTTACCTGTCGGACAGTCACCACCACAGCCACCATGGTACGCAGCATCAGCTTGTGCAAAGTGTTCCTGCTGATGATCCTCGGCCTCCTGGTCGCCTTCGTTCACACAGGTAAACCTCTGGAGTCTCACTGGTGTTTTTTTTATTTTATCTGTGTGTTAGGGTGAAAGATGTGCAGCTTTTTCTGTTTGTACAACAGGATACATGTTACAGATGATGCAAAACCATAGTCTGATTTTTATAAAACACTTAGCTGTCACTCTTAAAATGTAATTGTGAGAGAAAGAGTTGTGTTTTTTTAACAAATACAAACTGGAGCGCTTCTAAATCAAGTTTCTTACATTCTTTTAGGAAAAAGAACAGTTTTTAATTAGTTCGTTTTCAATTTAGCCTACTTCAGTTTGTGGATCGTTAAGGTTTAGCTTTTTACTTTCCAAGAGCTTATAGTTATAGCTGCAGATAATCAGGCAGCTGTTAAGGTATCAAATCTAAGGTGTGTGTGTGTATACGTGTCATTTTCTCACACACAGAACTGGGATTTGTGCAGCCTGATGTAAATGATGCAGTTGTTGGAGCTCAGAGGGCCGTGAAAGCTGCTCTTTGACAAACAGGATGACTCAGTTGCTTTCATGATGTCTGATGTTTGTGCGAAACTGAAAACCGCCTCTCGGACTCTGGCTGAGCTGAAGCGATTCTGTGTCGTCTCGGTATTTGGATTTGAGGCAGTGCACCCGTCCACAGGTGCTGGGTTTGTTTTGTGCACGTGAAGAGAGAGTTTTGGTGCTGGTGGTGGTTTAGTGAGGTGCAGGATGAGATGATAACCCAGAATGGCAACAAACTCACTGGTTCTTATTATACTTTCATCTACTTCTATGTGCATTTATCGGTTCCTCTTCTTCACCCTCTGAAATCATCTCAGGAGCAGCTCTCATGATCAGATGTCAGAGCGGAGGTCCAGATGTGGGGATAAAACTAGTAAAAAGGCCCTAAAAGCTGCTTCATAATGTCAAACACAGTGTTGCTCTGGTTTCCTAAAAATGCCTATTTCTTCCTCTTCTTGCTCTGGGCGGTACAATTCTAAAGAGGAAACATTTTTTCTGGGCTTTATTTTAGGATTTACAGCTTCCAGAACAGAAACCGAAACAATGAAGTCGTACAGAACCTCCAACCTGGGAAAAAGAAAATACATTTAGAGAGACAAAGGAAAATACATGTAAATAAGTTACTGATTTATACACTGAGTAGTGGTTCTGAATATATGTTATTGACATCATGCATCATCAGATCCAACCAGCTCAAAAACATATTCGATAAAGGCCATTTTTTAAATATTAGAATAGAATAGGCCTTAATTGTGATTGCAAATTGTACCTTGAAATGTGCTGTGCATCTCTGAAACATTCACAGGAAAAGTAATAGCAACAAAGAAACAAATAAAAAGATATAGATTATATTTACACATCAAAAGTAAAAGCTGATAAAACAGTGCTGCATAGTAAAATATGTAGAAACAGTATTGCACCTTAAAATTGTCAGTTTTCAAGTTTATCCAGATGTGTAAACATCATCATGTACAGTTCATGATGTTTAATCAAACTCCCACTTCCCAGTGACAGCGTGACAGGCAGCAACGTCGTGTGACTCATCACAGGGAAACAAACCCAAAGTTGTCAAATAAGTTTTAAGCAACAGCAGTGTGACAATTACTCACATTTGATCTTCTTCAAAATGAAAACATAAACGGGATTCTTCACTGTTTTTTGACCAAGTGTCCACCTCTAAAAATCTTGTAAAAAAAGTTTTCTCCTGTGGCAAATGTGGTCACGACCTGTGGACGTTCAGGGGGGTGAAGCGAGGGAAGGCGACACGACCGATGTCGTGTTAGGGCTGCATCAATTCGTGGTTTCTCTGTGCCTGGCCTGGTTGTTTTTCACATGCACCCGTCTACGCACTTTGTCATCTCTCTAGCTGGTGTGAAATCCTGACCAAAGAGGTCCGAGGAGCAAATAAATGTGTCTTTCAGCGTCTGAAATCGTTCCAGTCTGCCAGGCTATGAATCTGGACTTGTGTTGTGTCAAAGAAGCAGAGGCCTTGATTGACTTCTTGTGCAATGATTCCCAACCACGGCTACATGGAAATGAATAGATATTTAAATAAAACATGCAGAATATATATTTACATATCTGTGTTTAGGACAATAAACAGTCCAACTAAGGAACTAATAGTTTCAAATACAGTGGTGGATCGGGGATTTTTCTGAATGGAGGGTCACAGTTTAGTTTACACAGAGTGGCTGATTATACATCTAATACCCATGAACAATTCCTGATTCAGTAAGGTGCATATTAAAGTCGTTCCTTGTTTACTGTAAAATCTACAGCTTTGAGCAGAGCTGAACATCACTAAGAACATTTGGGAAATTGTTTTTTTGTTCAAGCACATTGTTTACTGAGGAGGACACCAGAGCTCATCTCAAAGGCCTGTGAAGCTGCATCACTCACAAGAGGCTTCAGTCACATTAATTCCATTTAACCTGAATTACAAGCTTGAGTAAACCCCTCTTTGTGGAAACAAACACCGTCGGAAAACATGGTGTTATTATTTTTTGCCCTCTTATTAAATCAAGCTGTCCGTAGAGGCACAGCCCTTTACACACAGTGACGATTAAATAAACATGTTTGTTTGACATCCAGTGCCGGGGCCGATGCCTGGTTTGGGCCTGGCCGGTTGCTACTGGTTGCAGCCCGCCGCCCAGCATGACCGCACAAGCTGCCTTTTGTGCCCTCGGCTGAAGGCCTCATTGATGGCTTAGCTGGCCGCAGGCCCGGGCCTCCAGACCTTCAGCGAGCTGCTGGACAGGAAGCGCAGAGTCAACGCCGAAGCATCAGAATACATCAGCAGCACAAAGACTTGAGATTATATCACATAAACTTGTTTATTATTAATCCTGTTTTCTACTTGATTTGAGACCCTTGATTTGAGGCCCATTTGATCAGAGACAGGGTGAAGGAGTTCACCGAGGGCGTCAGAGGCTACAAAGTAAATATGTCGCATTAAATATGCAGAGTGTAAATATGTTTGGATTACGGTTTTGTTGGTATGAGCACAGTCAAGGGCAGGAGAAGTGAATCAGTGAGCGTGTGAATGGGTGGGCTTGTTTTATTTCAAGGGGAAGATGAAGTTCAATTTTTTCCCCCGTTCCTCTGGATTTAAAATGAAAAGTTTAGTCACCAGAGAAACGACAGCCACCGCAGTCGCAGAGGCGTTTTTGGTTGTTTCAACCGAGCGTTTTCCAAAGGTTTGTGTCAGGAGACAGAATTGTGGCTTTGTGGAGAGACTCATGTTCTTCTGGCTCCTGCAGAGGTGTGAAAAGTCTCAGGATAACTTCGTGCTCAGATGGGAGAAATGTCAGAGGACAATTTGGGATGGAAGGAGAACAGACGAGAGTGCAAAGTGTTGTACAGAAACTGTAAACACTCAACAAATCACTGTCCCCCCTAAAGCTGTTTGTACTGCACTGGATTAATCAACCAAACCCGGGTTGAAAGAGTTTTTTTTGGTTGAACTTGTGGAAAAGAGGAGCATGAGGAGAGGCTACCTGTAGCTCAAACGGACAAAATGTCCATCCTCCACAAAGACATCCTTATGCCTCGCTCTGAGCCGTTACCCAGTGAGACAAGAGCGAGGCTGTTGGAGTCACTACAGACAGAACCATGTGTGCAGCCATGCACTGCAGAGCCATTAGCAAAGTCACAAACCTCCATCAGTGAAATTACGGCCTTGAGAAAACATACAGGGCGTCCATACTGCACAGCAGCCAATCATCGTCAGTGCAGGGAAAAAGTGATTTTATGTCCATGTGAATCATCAGTACAAGTGGTGAGTCGTTGTTTTTTTTTCTTCTTACTGTGCAGAGACAGTCGCAGACCCGGCCTCAACGACCAGGGACAACCAGGACACCATGTCAGGGGAGCCACCCAGCGACGTCACCACCAGAGACCCCTTCCAGGACATGACAGAGCAGTCCATCACTAACGACTACGAGGACACCACACATCCCCAGGCCATGGACGATGAGGAGGGTAAAACTGACACAAACAACACAACAACCACTAAATGTTTTCATGTATTCATATGTGTGTATTCATGTGTGTGTGTGTGTGTGTGTGTGCAGGGGTGCTGGGGCCGGGCGCCATAACCGCCATCGTCATAGCAGTCTTCCTGGGAGCGTCCGTCCTCCTCGCCCTCATCGTCATCACACTGAGGAAGTTCACCGCATCCTAGAGTGAACGCGTCCCATCTTTTGTGTTTGCGTGTGTGTGCATGCATGTGTGTGCATGTGTGTGTGTGTATGGACGTGTGGGTGTTTGTGTGTCTTCTGCCTCTCATCTCAATCTTTAACCTCCTCTCTCTCCTCTGAGCTGCTTCTTTCACTTCACTGTAGATGCTGAACACTGTGGCAGGTCCCTCGACTGAATATTTTAAAGATTTACTCCTGTAAACACTCATACACACACACACACACACACACACACACACTAACTGTTGCTCAACATGTTCACTTATTCCTGAAGGTATGATGTTAGAAACTGGCTGGCTCTTCCAGTGGAAACTGTAGCACGTCCATGTCATTTTTATTTTTTACGCTCTATAGGCCTTTTAATGTTGAGCATTTAGTTTGTCTTGAGAGTTTGCATGCGTTTGCTTTTGTTTGTACATGAAGTGTGTGTGTGCGCACGTGTGTGTGTGCGTGTGTGTATTTGTGTGTTGCTCGGGTTATTAGTCTTTCAAAGATTTTACCTTCCGCTAAATATCCTTTCTGAAATATTCCCCTTGGTTTCAGCCATGTACACGTTTTGAAGTTTGTGTTGAACCTTGTACAAACATTTGTTGAGTCAGAATAAGAAGAGGGCAGTTTTTAAAAGGCTCCTTCACTGGATGTAAACAGGGTCGTCTGTTTTACCTGCAGAGCAAACATGAAGTCACTGTGAGGGTGAATGTGTGTTGTGCTCTCAAGTGACTGTACTTTTTTGTTGTTATTGTTTTAGTAAAGTAATTTGGACTTTTTCTATTCGCCTCCTACCCTCGGCGGTACAGCTTGATGTTGCCACGGTAATTTCACCACCCGAAGTTTGTTTGTTTTATTTTTTAAATTTAAACAGAATAAGTGAATCCAATAAACCACGTGCCAAATGTCTGGGACTGCTGTGTGCTTCTCTCAACTCTGAGATCACCATATTTTTGTACATTTTCTTTATTATTATATCTCTTTATTCATAGTATTCAATCACTAGTTTGATGCTGTTCAAAGTGCTTCAAGATTTACCTATAAGCAGAGAATAAGACGGAAAAATGTAAATACTGGCAATGAAATACCATAACATTGATTTTAAAAGCTATAATAACTAAAAAAAAGATAAGATACAAAGATACAATGTTTCATTAATGAGCAAATAAATCTACAAATATATGTAAAAGGATCAATGTATCGCAAATAACTACACAACTGAAACGTGCAACCAAACTCACAGAGCAACATATTTGCATTTATCCATAGGGACAGTTTGCCCTGTGCCTCAGTGTACAACAGTAGGTGGCACTGTGGCTTCCAACTTGACTTACCTGCAGAAAAGGCTCCTTTGGTAACATGACATTATTCTACACTTAACCCTTGTAGTTTATTCCAGTTCAGATGTGCAGCTGACCGCAGAGGGTTTATTCAAATGTTGCAGAAAAAACTTTATCTTCGACACATCTTGTTTGTTTGAAAAAGGTAACAAAAGTGTATTTTTAAGATAAGGTTTAGTCATCATCTGAAACCAGGAAACCACCATCATATCAGTCGATATCTCTCAGCAGCGTCAGACAGAAGTAAAAGAACAAACACTTGAATCGCTTTGGTTTTCAGTCTCTGGAATGGGAAGAGTGATTTCCTTAATCACTGCAGCAGAACTGATTCTGAGTCATCCGCTTCATCAGCACATTTATACTTTGAAGAAGAATTATCTTCTCTGAGTCTTCTTCTTCTTTGAGTCTTTGAAATGAAAGTGTGTTTGTTTTTTATCAAAGTACGTAGTGATGAGCAAAGCCGTGTAATCATCCCAACATTTCAACACTAACTTTAGTAAACACCAACATTCACAAGATGCAGTGAAGACTCAGACCTGCGTGACTTCATTTCTTTTTTAATACTTCTATGGAAATTCCAGTCAGGAAACCACAATCTAACAAAAACACTCATGAGAGACCTGTGGTGTTAGCCAACGCTGCAGTTTCCTCAATTGCATGTCATTTTACCTTGGTGATTTTTGTGTGTTCAGTCTTTCAAGGGTTGGTGTGTTTTTTGTTGCCATGTTAGCAACATGACGCTACATGTTGGTCAGTGGAGGATCGGTTGGTTTCGCTCTCACCACTCACACGTGAGATGATATTTAAGGTTTTAGAAGAAAGGACAGCGGCTAATAGAGATCCCTTCATTTTTCATCAAGTGTCATTATTAGGCTTTTAGCTATTTATGCATTTTACTGCTCCAGTACTTTGGTTTATGACAAAATACCTGAAGCCTCTGCTGTCATTAGTTCTAACATAAAATACTAAACAAAAATGTTGAACATAGAAAACATTGCACCTGCTAAACAAAAAAGTGAGCTGGGTCACTGTTAGAATGTAGCTCAAAGCACTGCTGTGCTGTACTCAAGTTGAGTCCACATTCTTGATAGAATGGACTTTGTGAGTCTTTTCTATTATTATTATTATATTATTATTATTATTAGTTTACCATCACAATTTCTCACAACACAGGTGTCTTTCAGTGTCTCCATTTACAATAACATAAGACAGAGGAAAGGAGCAAATCATTTCATTTTGGAACTATGAGTTACTCACTAGAGCGCATACCTCCACCAGGGACGAACAATCCTACACATGACTGTTTCATTCTTATAGTAGAAATATGAAATAAAAAGGTGTGGTTTGATTTTATTTATTTGTCATAAAACATAGGTAATGACAGTGGGGGGAAAAAATCCTGAATCTGTCCTTTAATTTGCATCTACACCAACATCTAATGGGTTCTTCTCAGGCCCAGACTCCATGATCCCATTGGAATCAATAGTTTTAATGTATTGCAACTCACAACTAAACCAACTGACACGAATGAAAATCTCATTGGCCCACGTAATCAACTGATCATTTAAGCTTGACTGTAGCCTATTTATTATGGTGTGACACAAACAATGCATATGTTTTTTAATTTCCAGCAGCGAACGTCCGTTCAGTTAACTTTAGAAAGCACATAAGATGGATAATAGATCAAACTGCCTGGACAGGTTCACCTCTGCCCTGATCTCAAACGGCTGTGATGCACATCTGAATTCATATGCATGATGTGTGGCATGACTCAGGAAGTGGTGATGAAACAAACGTAGAGAAAGCAGAAGTGCGTCTGGCACAGGGACTGTGCTAGACATTCTCAGCGCTCAGTGGAGAGTCTGGCATCTGTGAGGTAGAGACACAGCTTGATTTCATCATTTTCCCTGCACAGGATTCCTGATATTACGCAGCACCAGGTTAGACTTTTAAAGTGTTTCATTTGAATATTGGTAACAAGGTGAACAGTAGTGTAGATTTTTTGTTATGAGCAAAACCTTTGAAAATATTTAAAACATTTAAATTTCACTGGAGGCGTAAGGAGGCCCCTCTACAGACAGCATGATGTGCAGTATGTAATTTGCAAGCAGTGGATGTTAATTTTAACATGCAGCATATTCTGTAGCCTATTTTTAATAATGTAGAACACGGAACTCAAGATATATGTTACTTTATGATTTTACTCTATGAGCGTTAAAATAAATACAGCTGCATTGATTTCATGTCAAAATGTATTTTAACATGTGCAGATAATGAAACATGTTGCTGCAGGTGCTTCCTTTCAAGGCTTATTAAATCTTATCAGATTAAAGTCAGAATCATTGACCTATTACTTCTAATTTAAACATGCACTGAGCACAAAGAGCACATCCTTTTTGTCTTTACAGCTCTTAATTGTACCCACACCACTTTTGTTCTGTGGTGGACCGTACATGAGTTTATTTGTAGGAACAAAATGAATAATGACTTTATTTCACAGACATTTTCACAACTTCAAACTCCGTCTTACTGGAGTGAAACCATGACAGACAACTGCTCCTTCGAAGCAGTGGACAGCCTGATGAGCAAATTGGAGCTGGTCATCTACATTCCCATATTCATCTCTGGTCTGATCCTGAATGTCGTGGCGCTGTTAGTGTTCTGCATCTTTCTGCGAAAATGGACCGAGTCCATGATTTACATGACCAGCTTGGCTCTCATGGACCTGCTGCTCCTCTTTCCTCTTCCCTTCAAAATGCATGCGACTAACAACAAGTGGCCTGGCTCCCTCCAGCCTCTCTGCTCAATCTTGGAGAGCCTGTACTTTGTCGGGATATACGGCAGCATCTACACCATCATGTGTATAGCCGTGGACCGGTGGGTGGCTATCTGTCACCCATTCAAAGCCAAGCAGCTGCGCTCGCCCAAAGCAGCTCTGGGGACCTGCGTGGGGGTTTGGGTGCTGGTGCTGTCAGTGCTCTCTCCAACGATCCATGGCTTCAGGGTGGTTGGGCAGAATGACTTTCACTGCTTCCACGAGTTTTCAACAAATGGCTGGAGCCCTTTGGTGATCATCTGCCTGCTGGTGTTTGGGTTCCTGGGGCCTGCAATGGTGGTGATCTTCTGTTCGGTGCAGACCATCTGCGCTCTTCAGAGATCTGGTCAGAACAGCCCTAAGAGCCGGGCCTGTGTGAAGATCATCTACAGCAGCCTTAGCGCCTTCCTGGTGCCTTTCACCCCGAGCCACCTCGGCATCCTCCTGCAGTTCCTGGTGAGAGAAGCTACAAGTAAACTCAACTCTGAAGCTTAAAGTGAAACAAGTTAAAGTAGGGAACAAACAAAGTTGACACAACTATCCTACCTCAAGGTCCATTTAGTAGCTGTTCAGGAGCTTTTGGTCCTATCATCATATCACATCGTATCGTATCATATATCATAACAGATAGGGTTTTTGTACAGATGTTGGGGAATTGTGAATATTTAAATTGCCATTTTCCTTTGTGTACTCGAGAGGGAGGCAAGTATAACACAGTTTAATTCCCTATATTATAATGTTAGAGAAATTGAATGGGCTCTTCCCTGACCCATACCGCATCCTTCCATTAATTTCCATGGTCATCTGTCCAGTAGCTTTTTGTGTAATCCTGCTAACTAACAAAAAAAAAAGGCAGGGGTGAAAACACAATGTCCTTGGCAGAGGAAGTAACTACAACACCGTCTGCTGCGTTATCTCTTCTCACTTCCATAAAATTTGAAGAACCATTCTCCTCATACATGCAAAGAGCAGAGTTTACTAAATGCTCCTCTCATCCTTCACTAATCACAGGTGCACCAACAATTCATTCAGGACTGCGACAACAAGATCAGGATCAGCCTGTTCATACAGGTAGCCATGTGTCTGTCCAACATCACCTGCTGCCTGGACGCTCTCTGCTACTACTTCATTGCCCACGAGGTGAGAAACACCAAATACACCTTCAGCATTTCAATGACCAACCTGAGAAGAGCCACGTTCAGCACGTCAGAGGTCTGAACAGGGACAGTTTGAGTTAGAACATAATGGCGTCCTCAGGAGGACAGTGAACACGAGTTCTGGCTTCTTAGGTTTTAGCAGGGCAATAAAAGGAACGAAGAGCCAGTACTTCAAGAGGCTGAAGAAATGGCTTGCAGTGAGTGCAACCTCGATTAAACACAGAGCTGAGAATAATTTTAAGGCTGTCGTGTTAAGAAAAGATCAGATAAAGGACTGTTTTTGCGATTTGGTCCAATGACAGGAAGGGGATAGACTCTTCTGTAACCTCATTGAGCTCTGAAACCTGAAACAGAGAAAACCACAGCATGAGAAATGGCTCAAAACATCATCAGGCTGTTCACACTTACAGTTTGTGTGGGATAGGATTAATTTAAAGCTGCAAGATATTAAGGAGCATTGTCATTTTATTTTCTCAAGAAGGAAAGTCAGACATACAGGACAGAAAACGCGCTTTTCAAATCGACCACTAAAGAACAGGGTCGATAAAATTTGGATAAATCTGGAATAAAAGATATTAAAACTTCTAAAAAGCGACAGGTAAAAAAATCATCATTTAATGATGTGATTTATTTATATATTTGTAAAAATGCAGATTTACATAAAAATTCTACTTGAAACAAGTAAATAAATTAGACTGAAGCTATTAAATACATTCTTATTAGTAATATTCATTCAAATATTAATTTCCAGATTCATTTATTTAGTATATGAATAACACCATGTTAGTTGTGATCTTGAAACTGAATTGAATGAATAATTATTTATGTTTCATTATTACATAACAACAGATTTTATCAAACTGAAATGATCATTTGTTGACTTTTATAATAAATATAAATAATATAAATAAAATCTAATATAAGTATAATTTCAATTTGTGACAGTTATCAGGGCGTTTACTGTACATGAATGCTTTTTTATGATGGAGTATAATTTGAATTGTTTTCTAAGACATGATCATCATGTTTTTGTTTACATACTTGTTTTCTTACATTATTTTGTGTATTTATATTTGTCCTTTTGCACCTGCCTCCTTTCTGCTCCAGTTTTTGTTTCTTAAATTTCTGTGAATTAAGTGCAAGTATTGATAATGAATAATGCTTTTTTCATGAAGTCGAGGGCTTTATTCAGCTCGACCTGCAGATTTACCTGTGTGCTCTGTAAAATTGAATAATCCAAGATGAAAACCCAATAATGTAAATATGTATTTATCAGAGCTTGACAGGAAGATACTGTAGATGTTTTTGTATTAATCCAAAATAAGCTTCAATTAAAGGTTCAGCGTGTAGTATTTAGTGGTGAAGTTGCATGACGCAGCTGAATGCTTACCTCAGTGTACTCCGATCACTTTCATCGTTTAGTATTTATCTGTGTTCTTACAATCAGTTTTCACAGCCGTTACTTTATCATTTTAGTACATTGCACTTACGCTTGTGCCTTAGAATTAGAAATAAAGTTGTTTTGAATTTGAATTAGATTTAAATACCCCTCACCTCACCCTCCTCTTCCAAACTGAAAGAGAACCTGTGGTAGCCTTCAGTTGTCATAACTAGTTTGTCCAGTTTGTAAAAAAGAAAAACATGGCAACCTCCGTAGAGAGGACCCACTCGAGTTGTATTTAAATGTAAAGGGTCCATTCTAGGGTATAGAAAACAACAATTCTTACAATTATATAGATGAAACAAACTCGTGAAAACAACTCAAGCATTATTTTCTATTCAGTTTCTGTCAATAGATCCCTTTCACCTAAATCTTACACACAGAACCTTTAAATGACTTAACAATCATGTTATGACATGACAGGTGGATCTGTTTGGCCTTTGAAGACAATTACAGAAATGATAACTTAACTTTGAAATCCTCACGGCATTAATGTAGAAACCAATTTGTCATTTACCATTTTGTACTGACATATAACTAACCACAAAGTATGAATGATGCGTTATTTTTTTACCATGATGAAGCTGCAGGTTTCTGTTCTGTAAAAACGGGGGAGGACAGCAACTGTTTTAAAGCTGATAGGAAGTTCACAAATGAAGATTAAAAACTTGATTTCCCTGTATGAACAATTACTTCCTTTCATATTATTATTCTATTCATGTTGTGTGGAAAGGTTTATGCCTATTTTGTCAATTTGGTTTTATTGTATTTCACTTAGAATGCATTGTCTCTAACCCAGAATGACAGTAAGAGGAAAACTATCGAAATTCATTATCCCATTCATTTGTGATAAAATATGATGTAATAAAAAAAATATATATAATTAAAAAAATAAAATAAAATAAAAAAAAATATATATATATATATATCTGTGAGAGGGCACTGACTTTCTTGAATATACCATTACTTGGCAAGATGATCCAGATACATTTGTATTGCAACTAGTTCTAATTATTTCTAATTGTCTTGCTATGCTACTTATCCATTCACACAGTGCATCTATATGTGCAGCACTGTCTTTATCACACATCACTCATGCACAGTCATCAGGGGTGATTTGGGGCTCAGTATCTTGCAGTGATTCAGTGAGATTATAATCTGCCTCTTGACAATACATCTGTTAACTTGTTCTTGTCTCAGTGACTTGTCCCTGATGTATTGAGAATAAATACTTCTGCTAAAGAAACCATCATTCCTTCCCCCTGCCAGATTTCCCTCACATTGTATATGTTTTAATGAGTCTGTTGCAGATTATAACGTAAAAGACAAAACTCAAGTTTGATTATTTATTCTTAAAGCAGGAAGATATTACAAGAAAAAACTGTACAGCGAAATCCAAGTTGATGACCTGTGAGCACTTTATCACAGGTCTCAACAGAGACTGATTTGCTCCATGATGCACATTAGAAAGACTCCCCAAATCTTTAATTTTTTTAAACTTGGGACAAATCAAAATTGTGGTGATAATAATGGCAAAATAGGAAGGATTGGGAGCTGGCAAGAGCTGAAAACAACATACAATTCAAATGAAGAGGAGGAAGAGAATTTTAGCCTTTGATATCATCAACAGTAAGTGATCTAGACTATAAAGCATTCTCTCTAAATGTCCTATATAGAACACGAAGCACAGGATCGCTGACTGCAGACTTTGGTTCCTTTTGTCCCTCTGAAGCACTGCTACTAATTACAGTCTAAAGCTTATAGCCCAGGAGTAGGACGGTGTGACACCAAAGGAAATACAGAGATAAACCATAAAGAAATGAACATTCACAAAACAATCTCAGATAAAAATCTATGCATATGCAACAATATGAAATCCAGAAGAAAAGTCAATTTACAGTAGATATTGCTTAGGAACAATCAAAATTATATACACCATTCATTAATGATAAAAACCAGCAAAGAAACATTTTAACTACATGAGGTATGTTTTGCCGTTTTTCTGACGTTCAAACTAAATAAAAAGACGATAACAGGAAACAGATATTCACAGGAGTGCACGGGGTAAACAGCTTCCAAGCGTCATTACCATTACCCACAGTGCACTGGGTTACTAAATATCGACAAGTCGAAAATGAAAATTTAATCAAATGTCATAAACTGACAACACATGAACTTGTATTGCACAACATGACGAGCTACAGATATATCCAAACACATTTATATTGTCAAATATACAGACTAAACTGACTGAATAAAAAAAAGGACTTAAACATTGTACATGAACAATAAGAGTATTCCAAGTTCAGACAATAGAACAAACATTGAAATTAAAACTGAAACTGTTAGACAAACACTTGCTCTTAAAGTGCAGTTCAAAGACAAAATAATTCAAGAGGTATGATTTGAAATTGCCTTCAGTGTAGGATGGCTTTGATTTCTGCCTCAGATTTACATCCTGCTGCAGATGACTGTCTCGACCACAAACGTATTCTCGAAGTGACGAATGCTGTGGCACTTCTTTGCCTCGCGCCTTTCGATACCTAGAAGAGAAGACGCGTGGAGGAAATCTGATCAGTTCCAAGAATTGAATTACTTGTACAACCATCGTTCCCACATTGTCCATTATGCATCAGTGATTCCCTAAAACCACATCCATATATGTCCTCAGGGGAAGAGAAAGAGATATCGCTCACACGCATCACTACCACCTCCACAGTGTGTGGATGTGTCCACGGCAAATACAAGTGAGTCACAGAGCAGGAAGTTCCCAGGCTGTGCCCACACACACACACAGAGAAATGATAATCAGGCTGCAACGCCTTTAAAGGACTGTGAGTGAAGTATTCATTAGGAAGTCCCTTTTTGGTCATTATAGTATTTTTCTGCATGGTCACTCGTTCTCACCTCACTCCCACACGCTTAAACTAAACGCTGGATTCCCTGCACACGTCACATTACTCCACATCTCACACGAGTGGTGTGAAAGAGGCTGATAAATTAACAGTAGTTTACCAGCACTCGTTATTTAGCATCTCATCTCGCAAAGAAAAAGAAATGAATGTGTGTACTCACGTCTGTGCTGGTTGCGGCGTTTGAGGCGGTAGGTTTCTTTGCCGTAGCAGAGTCTGTGGATGAAAGGGCCCAGCTGCCTCATGCTCCTCACCCTCCCCGTCACCACCATCTCCTCCTGGATGATGTAAGTCTGAGGAAGGTACGTCCCCCTCTGTGGCAAAGAGACACACATGAATCACTCAATTGATCTGTCTGTGGGAGGAACGCTGCACCCAGGGAGAGAGCAAGATGCCTTCTCTCTCTCTCTCTCTCTCTCTCTCTCTCTCTCTCACTCTCTCACTCTCTCTCTCTCTCTCTCTCTCTCTCTCTCTCTCTCTCTCTCTCTCTCTCTCTCTCTCAACATCCATTAACAGTGAATGTAGCGGTCGAGTGCCTCACCTTCACATTGACAAGCAGCTCCCACAGGTTACGTGGAGGCATCACCAAGGTTGTGTTCAGCTCGGTGATGTAGCATTTGTCCAAAGCAATGTCATGATAAGCTGTGAGGCCCTGGAACAAATAAAAACAGGGTTAAAATCTGTTTAAACACTTAAAAAATGCAACAAGAGGAAACCAGTGAACAAACAGATGCCTAAACCTACCCTCTGAAAGTCGTGGATGATATCGGCGGGATCA